CTTTGCCCGCGCGTGCGGAGCGAGCAATTTTAATCACGTGAAAAATCAGTCACCCGGCCACGCCAAGAAAGTTGAATGTAGTTCTACTTTCGTGGCGTGTCCGCGAGCATTCAGGCGGACAAAAAATGCACAGGTTAGGCAACTACAGAGAAAGTTGAGTAATGTTCGCTCCGCCCGCGCGGGCAAAGCGACTGCAATGGAAAATGGCCTTTAGTCTGTACAAATTAAGGTCTTCGGCTCACTACACTTGTGACATGGCCATTTTTTCTAATTAAAATAAAATTAAACAGTTGTTTGCACGGATTTTCGTTATCCGCGATAATGATAAAATAATATAGCTAATTTGCAAGACATATAGCTACATGCCGCGCAATTTACTGAAAGTCATCACAACAACTTTTTATCATATAATGCGTTATATAATCGCCGTGGGGAGAATATCGTACGGTTTCTTTCATCCATTTTATCTTATCAAAATCTGGCCTAATAATAAAACTTACAGCGTTTAAAATATTTAATACTTATACTCGAAATAAAATGTCGTCGAGGCAATTAATTGTTGTTCAGAGGCCATTCAACCCACTCCCCGCAGAAAGCCGTCAGTTAATTGAAATGACCGGAAAATTCCGTCCTATCGGCACGGTCCATCGTAATCTGAGTATCAGGCTACTTATAATTATCGTTAGTAAATAATTCCTGAAACATCTGATCGTTCTTCACACTATAAGTAAAGTTTGTACTGTACTATTGAGCATTCAATCAGAATGTCCTAAGGGAATGTGAATTTACATAAAAACAATCTAATATTATAGTTAAATAAATTATGAACAACAGATGATAATCTATAATTAGCAAAAACCAATCAAAAAGACAATTAACATCTGTTTGTCTGATAGACAAATCAGGCGAAGAGCGGGAGTTTGGCTTTTCCCAAGCAGGCAAGAATAGATTTGCGTCAGGCGCCATCTAGGAAAGGAAATGGCCTGATAGCCGGCTGTTCGTGGATATTCCATTGCATGCATGGTTTGGTACTACATGGTTTGGTTTTCATTAAATTCAGTTACTCGAAATGGGAATAAGCAAAGCAAACCCGCTGAGCTCTTTATAGTTAATCCTATATTGTCATTGTTATCGCGGATGTTACCCGAGTCTTTCCGATTTTAACAACAAAACATAATGTTTATCATCCTAGTGTTACTTTATTATCACAGGTGACTTATAACAAGGCATAGTACAAAACATGGACTGGACCCATGGACTAGACCCATGGACTGGACCCAAAATTGGACCCAAAATTGGACTCAAAATTGGACTCAAAATTGGACCCAAAATTGGACTCAAAATTTTCCAAAATTTTGCCCAAAAATCCATTATTTTATCGGAGAGAAACAACCCTCAGAATATCGTGCTATGATTTAATTTGTATAGGCAAAAAACTTCACGTTCCATCACTTTTCCTTGACCTATCTAATATCTAGCTATTTGTCTTCCAAAATTCTTTTTTCTAAACGTTATCTAGGGTATCTCGTAAATAATAAACCTTTGTGAAATATCTTTGCGCAATGGTCACAAATACA